ATACCATTGTTGGCTAAAGAAAATGAGAAGAATACTGATTTTGATGAGGGGAATCCTTTGCATCTTTTAAGTGAAATGTTTTTGTTATCACTTTGTTTTAAAACCATCCTCAACCACCATAGGTGTTTACAGAAGAGCAATTTGCAGTGCAGGTCTTCAACTTCAGAAGCAGCAGTGAAATCGGCAGCTAAGCTGTTCTAGCTCTGTGGTCACTTGGGATAATATCTAAAACCCAAAATAAATCTGCTTTCTAGGACCGTGTTTGCAGTGCTGATAGTTAGTAAAATTGTGTTTTGATTCGTGAAGTGAGTAAATCTACCATGGAAGTCATCAGAGAGAACACAGGAAGGGATTCCAAATCAGGGAGAATGTTGAATCACGGCATTGGCAGAGGTGGAAGGGGCCTCTAGAGAGGCCCAAACCCGCATCACCTAGTCCAACTCCCCCGCTAAAGCAGGATACCCCAGAGCACATTACACAGGAGTGCATCCAGAGAAGGGGACTCCACAACCTCCCTGTGCAGCCTTTTCCAGTGCTCTGTCATCCTCACTGTAAAGAAGTTTTTTCTCATAATTTAATGGAACTTCAAAACACTGTTTCCTTTTTTACAATGGACTGTACTCTTCTGGTCATAAAAAAGTACACTTTGTCATTTAACCTTACAATTATTTTCAGTATCTCCTACAAATAGGGACTCTTTGATAAATACACAAAATTGGGTAGAAGTCTTAAGGTGGGGATGACAGCAAGTTCTCAGTGAACAAACTGGGGGATATGTAGTTTGAGAGCTAAAAGGGGATGGAAAACAGATTCCAAATAATTGCTTAAACTTTTCCCCATAGGCTAATTCACATTTGCAGATTCCCTAAAACAAGCATTATGCTCGAGGATTTGCATTGCATTCACTGAATCAAAAAAATAAAAACAGCTGAGAATTTTCATAATGATAGCATCTTCTCTTGCAATTAAAAAAATGGCTGCTGTTTCCTCCCCTCCCCCCCCAAATAAATATATGTACTTTTTGTCAGGTATATACATTGCAGCAATATGCAATATATTGACTACCTACCACCATTTCAGTATTTATTTTTTGTTGGACGTCTTCTCTTTTTAAAGATGTTGCTTAAGTCTTGCACTGTGCCAAATAAGAGCTAGATTTTCTGCTCATTTCAATTCCTAGCTGACTTGACTGTTTATGCTCCCATTTCTGCTGGAATTCATGCGCCTGTGTTGCATTCCGTTCCATTCCCTTGGCTGCCTCATAAATGCACTCCAAAACCTTTACGTAATGATATACAATGTGCAATGTGGCAATCTTCCTTCTTTCAACACACGCATCCTCAAGTGCATATTGTATTTTCAGAAATCATCACACGTGATGAAAACTTCTGAAAAATACTTGTGAACCTGAAACTTCGGAGAAAAATATAATAAATGTATTCACAGACATTTTCTGTGCAACTCTGAGAACTCACCTGTAACAAAATATTTAAACAAAGCAACAGATAGCAAGAAATAGTGTGCTGTTACAAGCAAAGTATGTTCTCCTTCAACCTTTTTCTTTCACTGTGACATTTTATAAGCACGCTCACATTTCTGTATTCCTAGAAGTAAACATTTCTGACCTATCTTCCAGTGTTCCTGCAAGAATCCTAATTTAAATATAATTTATGTATGTAAGACAAAGTGATTAAAGCTTCAGTTTTCACTATGCCACAATACTGCAATAAATATAATATTCCTTTGTGCTAAGATAAGGAGAGTTTTCAGTGTAATATTTCATATCTTGTGACAAGTGTGCCCAATTGCTATAACTTCATAAATTTACTATATGTCCTATGTTTTGTGATATGAAGTCTTCTTGCACACATGCCATGAACCAAAGAGATCAGAGAGCGTGTGACAGTCTGTTGTTCATCACTGAGTGCCAGCTTATGCTACTGTAAAACCTAGAAATATTCCCAAGCTCATGGGTGCTCTTGCTTCTGCTTTGAGGTAAGTCCTGTCCTTCAGATGTGTCATCCGCAAATAACACAGTCTACAGTGTCTACTACACAGCCTGAAAATGAATGTGAGGCCTGGGGACAACTGCAGTACTCTACACATAGAGCTGACAGTTGCAAAGGAGCAGGATAAGCTTCGATTTGTCTAAGCCACTCTCTAAATCATGCTCTCTAACAGGATGATGAGTTGGGCCTAGAAAGCTAGCTGAAATCTTAACCCTTTAGAAGCAAAAGTAAGAGGTACATAAGACAAAAATGTTCCCGTAATCTCATTCTAAAAGGTATTTTATATTAGATCTCAATGGGAGGGCTGCTGACTCCATTGGGCAGGGCATGGGTCTTCAGCAGATTTTCTTTTCTTTACTTTGTGAAGGCACAAAAACAACTGGTAAATGGCCCTTAACAAGAAGGAAGACCTCCAAATCCAGTATCTGTGTTATGACCTTGACCTTTAACTTCTCCAACCCCCCTGAAATTTATGTAGAAAAAACCCATAAGAGCTGACTCCAGAGTGCTAGCTCACTGTTTCAGATAGTTGAAATGATGGTGGTAGAATTGCATGACTGCACTTCGTAACAGACACTGCGTAGCTTGTATGATTTTATGGAGGCTCCAGTTCTATTATTTCAATTCAGCTCATTAATTTTTGTTACATTTTATACAGTTGTTGATTTCCAAACAAGTTCTATTTTGCAACCTTAATCTTTTGCTGCTGCTTTTTTTGCCTTTTTTCCCCTCCCCAAGACACAAACCTGTGTTTAATAAAATTTTGATTGCTATTTTTCTTTAACTGCGGCAAACCTATACTGTAATTTATCCAAGTTCCTCACATAATTTTTCACCTCTAGTGTCTTTTAACCTCTTTAAAATATGAATTTTCTCCAAAGCTCGTTATCACTCATTTTCTTCACACTTCATTCTGCTCCTTTGCACATCCCAAAATAACCAATGATGAAAGACCTAAAAGGAATAAAGTCAACCGGAGGGGTTGCAGAATAGAAAGAACTAGTGGACAGCTTGTAGGAACTGTTGTGGACAAGGGACATAGACATTGGTCACACGTTCACAAGTTCACAAATTGTGCCCAAATTGGTGTTTGCAGCTGATGCTTAGAAACATATGCAGATTTTCTTTCTCATATAGCAATATTTAAAGCATAGATTGATTATGAAGGCATCACAGTAGTCCAAGATAAACTTAGCCACTTTACTGGAAGATTGTGGGGAAACTAAATCTGAGACTAAATATAGAGTTGCTGGTTGTAATCCATACTGATATTAGAGTACAGGGTAAAGTAGAGGCAGATCAAATGAAAATAATCTGTCACATGAGTCTTTTTTTTTTTTTTTTTTTTCCTTCCAATAATATATTCTCATAGTGGGTGAATCCAAATTATCTGGTACAGCTACAGATAACATATTTAACTAACACTGACTGATGCTGAATGCTCTGTGTATCTTTTTCAGTCATACAACATGATGCAGCACACTGGACTGTAGCTTTCTAATTGATTGGACAGCCCATTCCATGTTGATCTTAATTAGAAAAAAATCTCATGGAAGTTTCCCTTAAGTTTTAACAATACAGGCCTCAGATTCAGGCCAGTAAAATTTCAGTGAAGTTGAGGGAATTGCCTCAAGAATGAAACTGGTTTGCTATTTTGCTATTAAGATTCATGGAGTTTTCTTGCCCCTGAAGTGGAACAGCAGGGTACAGGGAGCCATGGCCAAATGAAATTAATTTAGAGATATATACAGGCAGTGCAGAACTCCCTTTGTAGTTCAATTACTGGTTTCAAAAAATAAAAAATCCCTACAACTACTGAAGACCTTTTTTTGGAAACCTGAGAGGAAATGGATGAGACAAGAGTGTGACCCAGTCTTACCACAGTGAGCACAATAAAACCATACTCAAAATGATTCATTCAATGCTACTAAATACCTTCAGATATTTCCCCCATGGAGGACTATTTCAGTGAAGTTTTGTGCAAGCAGAAATGTAATACAGAGCTGCACGCTAAGTGCCGTTGCAAATGTATGAATATTTCAGCACTGGGGAAAAGTAAACCACGAAAACTAGAAGCACAAAGAGAAAGCCTCCACTGTGAAAATAAAATCACTGCTAAATATAGGCAAAGAATGTTTTTGAAAGTAATAAGAAGGCCATTACAGAAGCTGCTTGCCCATGTGAGCCTGAAAATCAGTAGAGGCTCAAGGTGAGCCTGAGCAACGAAATTTTAAAATAAACATCTCCTGAATTTTAGAAAAGAATGAGAATCTTTTCACAAATAAATCATGCCTACAGATCTGATAGGAGTTTACAGCATAAACTAGAACTTGCAGTGTAAAGAGGAGAAACTTATGTGGAATGCAGAAAAGGATGAAAATATGAAAAGCACTTCATTGGGCATTATTTCTTTATCTGGCTTTGTGCAGTTTATGTATGGGTTTAGTTGTGTGAAATAAAAGAGAGGGATAAAATTAGCAGAATGAAACAGAGATTTCAAGGGAAAAACATGTCTAGATGAATAGGCAAAACTCTAGAAAGTAGAGGAAGTCCTCTGAGGGAGTAGGATATACAATATGAAAAGCAGACTTACAGAAAAGACTAGTATCCAAATGCAGAAGACAAAGAAAAAATGAACCACGATAATTTCTTCTTTTTCATCAACTGGCACACCAGTTTGCCGTATCTTGCATTGAATTAGATTGCCTGCTCCTCAGAGCAGTATCTGCTTCTTACAGGTTGTTATGGAGTGTGGCACAGTAGAGCTCTTATTCTGTTTTCAGATTTGGTGCATTACACTAATAAGAGGGACTCTTTTTAAAAATTGGTTTCTGAGTCTAAGAACAATTTGGCAGTGATTATAACTGACAATCTGATATCGGTTTGCTGTCTTTTGTCCCGGTGCTTTATGGATGGATAACTGGATGCAGAACTGTGATATAAACTTGACATTCTTCTTAATCTAAAGAAGTCTTAAAGCATTTGGCTTACCTATTAGAGCAGAGCTCCCTGGACTGATGGTAATTTTTGTTCCTGAAGGAGAGGTCAGCACTGAATGGGTGCTGGTCCCAGCACTGGAAAGCGCTGCTGTCAAGTCTTCTAGGTAAGGAAGAGGACGTGGAGGCTCTGGTAACAGATTGGGAGACTGAAGTGATGAGCAACACTACAACAGAAAGCATCTCAGGTACATGAGCAGCTATTGCTTCATTATTTCCCTTGCTGCAGTATTACCATTTCAGAGTGGCAGTGAAGCAACTTAGGGCAACTGCTAAAGCTGTGCTTTGCCTTGTGTTAGGTAAGACACTACAGAAACTATTGAAATAACTTCTGGAACAGTATGATCACAAAATAAAAGTAATTCTGTCTGAATGTTAACAAGGTGGTCTCTTTCACAGTCTTCATATGTGGTGAAGGTACATGAAGAGATAGAGCAATTTGGATAAAGGAGCAAATTTATACAGAACAGAAGCTGAATCAAATGTCCATGGCAGTCAGGGTAGAACTTTTTTAATGTCTGCTACAACCTGGATCAAGCCCTGATTAAATATGGTTATAACCCTGCCAAATTTCATGGTATACTTAGGCAGAGCTCCAAAGGGCTAGGAGTCAGAGCTCAAGAGGATCAGTCTATGCTGAGAAATGCAGGATTTAATTCTTTACTAACCATAATGCTATGTTAAAAATCGATTGTGTTGCCTATCATTCCCAATTCTATTTGTCATAGAAATTCCCCTTGCAGTTAGATCACAGCACACATTGAGCAAGCCTTCTGTTGCTGATCACATTGAGCACCAGTACGACGTATTGTGGATGCTTGAACTGTTCATCAAGGAACTAAAAATGTGATTTGCCTTCAAACTCAAACAGCTCGCATAGCTTAAAGTAACTTTCTGTCTTTAAAAACTAAGGCATTTGTAAAGATCAGAAAAGGATTTAAAGATGATTAAAGGCTGTAACCCAGTTGATTTATTTTTTTTTTCCAGTTTTCTGTAGCCTGAGTTTCTAGATCCAGTCTGAATTCATAGGGAAATCATGGGAACATTCAAAAGGTATTCTAGTGTTATCTGTGAAACTGAGAAATCTCACTTTAAAACTTCCTCTGGAAGCTACATCATCCATTCGACCTGTGCTCACTCTAGTCATGAAAGATGAGAGCTGTAACAGATGCTTTAATGGTGTTGCACCTATAACAACAACCAGGTTTCAAAATTTGCCACTTTACTATCAAACGTACAGAAATACTTACAAAGCCTGGCTGAATCATTGATCCGCCAGGTATGGAGAAATTATAAAAGATGAGATACTGCAAAAGGAAACCCCTTTCCCACACATAAAATTACCACCAAGTAACACTTCCACCCGTACTTTACTGCTGGCATTTCCTCTTCAAATCATGCAGCTGGACTTTCTGTCTGTTTAGAAATCCAAGAAAAGTAAACTTCACCCTTCACTGAACCTGAGAAGTGGTTTTAAAAGCACAGTGGGTTTTTGTACCTGATAGGTGTAAAATGGATCAGCATCACACAGTCATCTACAGAAAGGCTGCTCAGCAGAGGCAGAGCACTTCCCAGGGAAAAAGTGGCATCACTCTCCTTTCAAGAGAGCCACTTTAAGAAATGGTTAATAAATGTTTTTCTTAGCTAGTTAATCTAAAAGAGTGAAATCAAATATCTCAGGAATGGGAGATGCGGTCCCTGCGCTTAGGCACGTTCTCCTTATCCATCTGCCTTTTACTACCACTTTGTTTCAGATACTGCTGCACAGAGAACAAATGCAGACTGATTCTTAGAACTGTATGCTATTCCCTCTTCCCACATCCTTTGATTAGTTCTGCAGGCTAGATGTGCCAGCAGCCACATCATTACTGCTGCAAGTGCAAAATACCCTGGACTTACCAAGAACCAACAGCTGGGAACTTTCAGTTACCTCCCCACGAAGATTGGCTGCCTTGCAGGAGTACAAACCCTGATCTGACAGAGAAACATTTGCAATTAGCAGCAACCCATCAGGCAGATGGTGAGCAGAGGACAGCTTGACCTTGTTCTTAAACCAAGTAACTTCTGCTTCAGGAACACCTGGAAAAACATTGATGAAACATAACACAAGTAAGATACAGTGGTTACTAAACAATGTTATGATTGCTACAGACGAAATTGTTAAGAGAGAACAATTAAAACAGGATTTTGGTATTACTTCCATGTGACATTTTTTTGCTGTTCAGAAGTGTTTAATCAACTCTTTCACACTGCAGGCCTTTACGTTTCTTAGAACCCTCTGAGAGGGAGTGGAAGAATTAAAACCAAATTTAAGTCTTCTCTTTTAGCACTCAAAAACTATACAAGTGAGCTCTGACTCATCAGCCTCAAAAGCAAGCTTCTGTTGGATTAGAAAAGAGGTTGGTCTAGCCTAGTATCTTGTCTCTGGAAGAAGCTATAAGCTGGTACTTCTGCCAGACTCTCACTAGTTGCAACTCAGGAACTTTCTGAGTCAAAAGTAGTTTCTGTGCAGTTAATAGCACTTCAGGGACTTATCTTCTATTAATTAATCCAACCTTCCACTTTGAAATTATGCAAACAATCAGCATTTACATCTTCAGAAAAGACAACTGATTACCACAAATTCTTAACCCACTAGAGGAAGAACTGCCTGCATTTTTGTGCTTGGATCTAAGATCCAGCTACTTCTGCTGGGTATGCTGTTGTAGGAATTGCTTCTGATGTGCAGCTTACAAGACCTCTGGCCTTGAAGTAGGTAGTATTTCTTTTGCATAGGGATTTCTACCTCAATTTAAATGCACACCAGATCAGGAAATTTAGTGTTACTGACTATTGAAAAATCAGTGTATGTGAAATGGTACTGGAATTCTCAATAGATAAGACAGACTGATGGAGCTGTGTCTGAGAGGAAATGATACTGTGTGGACCCATGGCTGTAAGTAGCAGCACATCGCTAATCCTGATCCCTTCTGGAGTGCATGTTCTGCCATTTGTGGCACCCTCTGTATGGGGGATGCAATTAATCTCTTTCCCAAGAACACCCAGTTTCCTTGTGTCTACTGCAGATTAAATACAGGAGTACAGGCAGTTACTCCAAAGTATCTGCTGTGCACCTAAATCCTTCCCTGCCTTATGTCACAGTGACACATTCCTCTGCCCTTTGCCAATACTTGTCCGGTTGTGCCTCCATGTCGAAAACTCAAACCCACTCTGCCAATGATGTGACCCTGGCTTCAGAAATACCTCACTTGTAATGACTGCCAGATTGCAGGTGCCTTTACAGGCATGTGCAGATGGACGTTGGAAAGAGTTATTTTCCCTGTTCTTTCACATCAAAGCATTGTGGCCTTTTTTTCCACCTCTCCCAGAGTCACCTGGTGACTTTGCCAAGACATCTGAAATGAATGTATCTGAGCTTGCCAGCAGGAGGGAAAGCTGAGTCCTTGTAAGGGAAGAGGGTCTTGTCCACATTCAGACAGCAGCAGGAAGTAGGCTGTAAGAGACTGCAGCATTTTTCTCACATTTGTCTGAGGGTAAATAGCATATGCTAATCTGGACCCTTCATGGCAAACACAAAGAATTAATCATTCTTGCCTATGGTGATGCTCTCCATAGGCTTTCTATTGTTTGTGTTGCTACAATTCAGCCTTTTTAAAAGGACAGGCTGTTGATCTGTTACTGACCCCCTTGCTAGAACAGGACCAGTACACAGATCTCCATCTGGCTGCTACTCTTTGACCTGTGTGGCATGGGTGGGCCAACCACCACTTAAAACCTCACTCTGATTTTTTCCAGAACATCCAGGAAGAGTCTCCAGGGAATTCAGACAACCGCTGGATAGCAAACAACCCCAATCCTAGAGGTTATTCAAGCCCGTGTGTTTATTGTGTTTTCATTGTGGGGGAAGGAAGTTTGAGGGTTGAGCTCTGGAGAGCAAAGGAAAGAAAATGGTGACTCTTTCATTTCTGCAGTCCCTGAGATGGAAAAACATTCACATCCCAGTACTTGTCCTCCCAGTACCACCCTAGTGAAGAGATCACTAGCTTTCTTTTGCAGTCTAAACTATTTAGGGCGCACGGGTTTTCACATTATGGCTACTGATAAACTTAGCCATGGAAATACCAAGAAATGTACCTAAAAAATAAACAATCACAAGACTATAACACTATAAAATTTTCTCCTATTCCAACTAGGTGTCATCTTCTTCCTTTGTTTTGAACACTAATGTTGGATATATCTTTCAATTTTTTCTTGAAAATAAAAGAAGAGAAATGCAAATAGTGGGAAGAAAGGAAGGGATGAAAAAACTAAAGAAGAAGAGAATGGGACAATGAAGTTATCATATGACCACAGCCCTCAGGAGCAGGGACTCTATAAAATAAATACAGAAATAAATACAGGGACAGACAAAACTAATTTTCTTCCTGAAAACATCTGCTCACATAGTCTTGGTCCAGAAAGGTATATTCCTCTTGTACACACTGCACTAGCAGAAGAAGCAGGAAAAGCCCTTACTGTTCAGCTGTCCAGGAAAGGTGCACTGTGACCACAAAATGTTCAGCAGCTCTAAAAAAAACATTTTTCTGTCTGGTACTCTACCATGTGTGTCCTTCCTCTGTATTTAATGTGAAGTTTCCACACTAATAGGAGATTATTTGAAATTAACCATGTACACCTGTTCCTGCAGTTTGGTTTAGGGAAGATAAGGAGCATATGTGTGTGAGCAGCACTTAATTTTGCTTTGTGCTTCCACCCTTAGCAACATGTGGAAGCCTCAAGACAGGAATAGGAGGCAGCCAGCAGAAGGATGAGCAAGCACATCATTGCGCAGTGGTGCCAGAAGGGGTAGCAAGAGCATTTCAATCAGATTTACTGGGTAACGTTAAATGACAGAGGACAGAGTGCTTGAGTGTGTGTTTGCTGTGCAGAAGCAATAACAAAGACTGAAAATCTGGAAGTCTGGGAAGTGCCAGCTGGAAGCAAAACTGACTGTCTTGGACAGGCAGGACTCTAGGGGGTGAATAATTACCCACGTCTATTTTTCTTTAGCTTTTTCCTCCATCACTGAGCATGTATCCAGCATAAAAAGGCTGCCTGGGATATGCAGAGTGCATGCCAGTCAAGATAGTTTTTCTAAAGCAGGAGGATTTGGAGAAAGCAAGCATAGCTATACAAGTATCTAGCGGTGATGACTTGTTTCCCATGCCACAGTATTCTTGAAATAGTGGCTTGCATGTCAGAGTCTAGCGGGTCAGACAAATATAGGCATAAAGCACTGTAAGAACTAGAAAAATATAACCTACAGTATCTGTAGATTGCAGCTCAGAACACAGATTTTGACAGAGCCTATGCCTTTCATAAGAAGTTAAAGAGCAATAGAAAAATTCCTGCCTAGGCTCTGGCAATGTTCTTTTTCATTATCTATTGTTTTTAAGAAATTTTAAGCCTTTTTCAGGCTTACCAACATATGTCAGCAGCAAGTGTATGCTTTTGTCCCTTGACAGCAAGAGCAGCTTTAGAAAATGCCATAACTGATCCTCATACTTAACATGTCCCTTATAAATATTTGTTCTGCTGTCCTGCTGACTCTCAGTAAAGACATGTCCTTATATGAGCCAAGACACCAAGACCCAAATGCATGCATGGCTCTACACTACAGACTCTACAGCACAGTGATACCAACACAGTTTATAATGATGAGATTAGCAGGCAACAAATTCTGATTTGGAACAGCTTTCAGTTGCTCTGCTAGCTCAGGGGATCCTGAAATGATTAGAGAGAAAGTACTAGAAGGAAAAATACTAAAGCTTTACAAAGCTGTGTGAGGAGTTTTTGCATCTAGAGAATTTTCCACATAATTTCAGAGTATAGTAGTTTGCTTTCTAAGTATGCTCATTTTATTCTCATGTTCTAGTTTCTTTTTTATTATCAGATGTTGCATTAACCACTGCACATTATCTTACTGTGATTTAATGGCCATTTCGCTGTTAATATCTTCTGGGGAACTGTGGCAACCTACACAGCTATAAAATCCATCTACTCTGAAGAAGTCACTAAGATCTGACATGTTTGCTGATTGAAGAAATAGTGCATGTTAATCTTTTTCTTCTTAGAAGTGACTGTTGTAATTAGAATGGTCAAAAAAATATTGTAAGGTTGGATAACACTGATGCTAAAACAAAAAATCTGTGCTTACATTAGAAGGAAAATTGTATTTATTTTCATGTTCTTTTAATAGGTTTTATGAGATGATGTATTTTCCTGACATAGCTGATAGAAAGCACTCTGTTCCTGGATTTCTTCCCATATGTAGTTTGTTGTGTTGGTTTTTTTTCCTTTTAATTGCTACTTAATTGCTATTAACACTATTTATATGAAAATAGGATTCTGGTGCCTAGAAAATATTTTTCATTACTCACTCTCTTATACCCTGTGTAACATCATGGCTTGTGGTTTAGGAGTTTATCATAGCTTCAACAGTATTAATCTCTGGTGTCACCCATAGCTGACATTTTCTGTGGAGGCAGTAGCAGGAGATAAATACTCTTGAAGAAAATTAAGATTTAAGCAAATTTATTTTGTATCACAGCAGAATTCAATATTCAGTAATGATACTAGCTGGCAAAAAGCTTTCTTCTGGGAGAGAAGACAGTGATTCTGCTGTGACACTGCTAAAATTTTCCATTGTGGGTGTATATTGTTATAGTAGGCAGGCTTCATAAAATTGCTAGAGATTATTTTCCTCTCAGAAAAGGCAGGGAATCTGCCCCTGACCATGCTGTTTTTCTCTCTTGCAGTTTTCTGATTCCATAAAAACTGTGGCAGCTTTGCTCAGACATGTCCTGTTCTTTTCATGATGTCTTTATACTGAAGGGAAATGGCTGCACTTTTAAAATCAGCAGTCCCTGTCTATTGCTGTGGGGCCTCCTCAACCACAACTAAAATTACCCAGAGAGAGAAATCTGAAGTAATTTATGTTTGTATAATACTCAGTCTCTTTCACACACTGTCAGTGCAGGTGGCCATGCAGGGGCCTGGGGGAAAAAAGACTACAGCTTTCATCTCCTTCTTACTTGAAAGATGCTGGACATCAGTCTGATTGCAAGGGAGTGTCTAGTGTCTATGTTGAGAGTGCAACACTGAATTTACTCCTTCATGAACCACCAGGAAAATTATACTGTATTTTTCTTTCACTAATCCCACTGAGAGTAATTAATAAACTGACATCCCAGTGTAGAGTTTGCAGAGCTATTGTGCATGCTCTACTAAAGGACAGATGGCCAAACAGTGAAACTTGAGCCAAGTACTTCTTTTTATTTAAGAATTTACATAGGGGTGGGGTTGGCAGCACTTGAAGAAGGAGAACTGACAACACTAAGAGCTTAAAGCGAGCAGGAAGTGTAAAAAAAGGAAGGAGGACATCAGTATATTTGCAGTGCAGATGCTTATTTAGAGTCATCTGAAGTAGTTACTGGAGGCAAAAATCTAAACCAAAGGTTTAAGGGACTTCATAGAAGTCTCTAACACAGACTTTTGAGTAACAGTCAGCATAGCTCACTTTGTGTTTTGTAAGTTGCTTCCTGTTCCCCCTCATGCTATGCATTAAAGTGTAATGAATCAAAGGCCTGGCCCTGGGTCTTCAGAGATTTTCCGGCTCTTTTCCTTCCCCCACGTTTCCACCTTATACCAACATCATTCCCACCAATAGCTGCAACACATAGATAGGTCAACCTTTTTTGATCACCACTGGAAATAAGCAAACTGTCATCGTAACACTGAGGAGTAAGATTGAGTCAGTGGTGTTTATATATTTTCACCAAGCATCCTCAATAAGTATGAAAGTGTATAAGTTTTGTTAATCCATATCATACTATTTATCTCTAACAAAAATGCCTACTGTAATGTCCCATATCAATTTTCTTAAGCCACTACACTTTTCTTCTTGATATTCATAAAATAAGGTCAGTTTCCACCCTACGAATCAATGGTAGTATTAAGTTTCCCTGAGTCCTAGGGAAAGGTTGCAGTTTCACTCAGCTGCATCAGGAGACACCAGTTTAGAGAAGAACCCCACAGAAATGTATAGCTGAAGGCACCTTCTTGGGAGAACAAGTAATTTCTCACCTGCAACCTGGCAGCTAATGGTAACATTTGCTCTCTGGATTGTTTTCACTGTGCTTCCAATATCAACAGTGACAGCAGGCGATTCAGTGTTGGTCACAGTAGCTCTTGATGCCTTTATCAGTGGCTTTCCTGTATAAAAGAAACAGAACAATTTATCAGACCAAGTACACTGGACTTGCATGGAACATATGACATGGGACATTTTTGTGTGAATGTGCCTACAGAGGACAGGCGGGTAAGGGAATATTTTGGAGTACGAGGTCACACTCTCTTTATAATATTACAGTGTCACCAAATTCTGTGGGAAAACCTGCCTTGGAAAAAGAAAAGACACACTTAGAGCAGAGGAAGAATATCACTAAAGCCCCATGGACACACATCAGAATGAACTAATTCAACAAATGCCAGCTCAGTTGACACTGAAAGATATTTGCCTGGTACTGCAACCAAAGTACCACCCTTTGCCAAAGACCAAACACAGGAAAAAGAAGCCTGAGTGATGGCTACAGGGATGTTAATAATGTAGATGGTTTACAACAGTGCACAAGCTGTTTCTACACATTGATCATGTTTTCTTTAATCTACAATGGAAACACTGGAACTGGAAAGACCAGACCACAACCAGAAAGTTTTTTCATAATGGATAGTGTATGAGTGTGTAGGACATTAACATATCTTTTTTATCAGATACCTGTTTTGTTTAATCTAAAGCCTATTAACAGTGATGTGCATTAACACTGTTTATCTCTAACAGATACTTGCTTTGCCTGTCACCAAATTTCTGAATTGTTTTCAGTGTGCTTTCAGCATTGGTGATAGTGAGCACGTGGATCAAGGTGTTCTCCTGCTGTTGTGCCTGTCTGTGCAGGATTAGCTACGGAGTTACCTACCACCTGGGGCTCAAGGAGCCTTCTGCAGCCTCTTTTGTAGGGGCATGACACAAACCAGCTTGAAGATACTTGGGCTTAGATCTCAGGGAGGGGAGGGAAGCAGCAGAGGAGACAGCCAAAATACTCTGAAGACTTAATGTTGGCAGAAGGGGCAGAACATGAAAACGGTATTTTTAATTGTATGGGAATTAGGTGTTTTTGACTGTTTTGTTTTCAAACACACATTTATCAATTTATTTTTTTTTTCTCCCCTTTAAATAAATTATCAGATACAAAGCAGTTTTGGATATCCTAATTTGGCCTCTGTAATCGGCAGTTTAAGTTAATGTCTGATGCTGGCTTAATTTGTGTCTTACTCTGGAGGTGACCAAGGAAAAATATATGGAGGTGAGAAAAAGAATTTGGTTTCATTGAGCTCATTACACTAACCAGAAAATCCTTCAGTGAAATAAGCTTTCTGCCCCACTCCAGATCCCTCTAAAGATGGTCTGAGCTTTCCATTTTTTTTTGAAAAACATACTTCCATTATGCCAAAAAGTTGTTTCTTAGTTCCAAAAATTGTTCAGTATCTTATTTTGATATTTATGGCCTCATTTTATAGATAGAAATGTATATCAGTTCCTAAGCAGAGTTCAGTTTGAGTCTGGAATTCAGGAATATTAATTCATTTTAAAAGGTTAAACTACAGCCTTGATAGTTAATTATAATTAAAAAGATAATAGCCTTCCTGTGCCACATGTATACCTAATGCTCAGTTTATTTTTCTAAAGCTTCACACTAAATCTTCTCCACAAATTAAACTGTACAAAGACTATGGCTTTTAAATTCACTGAAGAAATATGGACAGAATAGCAGTTTTGTCTGATAGTTTTTTAACCTCATGTTCAGCTTGTTGCTCATGCAACACAAGAGGTTTGCTGTGGAGTTGCTCCTTTTGAAATACAATACTGTCTTAGCAGAAGCACCTCTGCCCTGTTGCTCAGGATTCAGCAAAGATCTTCCTGATCTGACAGAAGAGTAAAAAGAATCACTCTTTGGTTTTGCCTACATGTCATATGTAGCTCTGATGCAGATCTTCCTTTTGCAACCTTGCGGATTCAGCTTTTCTCCTTCTAAGGGATAGACAAGGTATCTTTCCAGTTGCTTTACTGATCATCAGAGCTGCACTGCTGACCATTGCTGTCTTCTTAGATTTTCCCTATGTTCCTCTTACCTGAATTTTTCTCTGTGTTTGGTCTAAAAAACTCAAACTCATCAACACCTATTCCTTCCTCTAATGATATACGGGTACATTGGCATCTGATAGTCACCACCCATACATTGAAGGCCTCCAAATGCTTCCACATTCTGCACCAGTGGAATGGAAAGCTCAAAAAAACATTACGCTGTCTCACATTCCTAATGTGCTTCCTTTTCCTTTGTTGTAAGCCTCCTTTTCTCTCTGCCTCATCACAGTTCTTAGCTGTCTCTTTTGTGCCTTCACTTTACTCAGCAGCTTTGTGTTTGCTGCTTTGTCCTGACATGGTTTTGAGGCTGCTGACATCACCTCCCAACACTGAAGAAGACCGATCAATGCACTACCTCCCATTTTTTTGTGAGCCTCTGTTTGCCAGCCCTTGAAGCAGTGCCAGCCATACTTGTGCCACTATGGATCAAATATGATACAGGACTTGGTCCTGCAAGGGGCTAGCTGTTCAGCTCTGGCATTTTTCAGAATTGCCTGATGTACATCTGAGTTAGTCCTTCAGTCTGTTAGACCTGAAGAGGTCAATGACAGGTTTAAAATGAAGCATATGAACTGGGAGGCTTAGATGGCACTGTTCATGTAGACTGTCAATAGCCAGGATGAGCACTGTCTTGAGAGCACATGTCAGATGCAGAAAGTGAGAAGAAGCAAGGATCCCTTACAGAAATCCACAAATCTCACAAACTCTCTGGGAAAGTTGGACTATGCCTCAGTTTTTTCCAGAGTTTGCACCCTGTGTTTTAAGCAGTGCACCTCTGTTGACCCAACTTGCCCACCCAGAATTCACAGCCTTCTGTTCCCCCACAGATGATTTCTGTGCAGAATCACACAAGTGGTAGCAACCATCCTGCAGACAGAGCGAACTATTACCTGCCAGAGTGACAGCAATGGAGACAGAGTCAGATCCCAGGGCATTGGTCGCATTGCAAGCATAGAAACCTACATCAGCTTCTACAGGTGCTAGAATCTTCAAGGAGTCATCAGGCTGAAGTAGCATCCTGGAGCAAAGCAGAAAGAAAGATGTAATAGTGTTTTAGTTTGTGTGAGCACAAACACATTTACTGGGAGTTTTTTTCAAGTTTAGGTAATTTTTTTTTACAGCTCAGGCCTTTAAGGTATATTTAAAAATCTATTATGAAATCTGAAGTCTTACACTTTTAATCTCATTTACAGTTCTTCTACTGCTGATTATTGAAAGGGAATAATCACAAAACTTGCTGAAGCTGTGCAGAAAGAAGTGAAGTGAACCACATACTCAGTGTCAAAACCTGAAATAGGCTCCAAATTCTTTGGTTGTGGGGCAGTTTGAAAAAACTCAGTAGTCTCATTGCTCCCTTCATAGTCAGTGAAGACAGAGGGGAATACTCAGCTCCTCCTTTGGCTTAACCAACTGTTTCTTTCCTCTGCTGGTAAGAAGAGCCTATCATGATCCTGGTGTACTGCCCATGGTTAAATGGGATGAATATGGCTTTAGAGCTCTTACAAACTGCTTCTTTTCACAGTCTATTTTTGCAGTGGTATATTTCCATGAGGTCCTGACACATACCTATTTAATCCATGGGCTCTTTTCAACACTTACATTCCCTTACTTTTTAGCACAATGCATTTAATGAGTATTGTTCTTATTTTTTTTTAAGCTGAAACTGTTGATAAAGTCTAATAATAAATTACTTTTCTCATCAGCAACTTCAGCAGCTGTTGTATGTAAACTCTTAGTTGAGGCCATGATTGACAGTGACAAGGGTGAAGGTAGGGGAGGGATACACCTGTAAAACATGTGCAATAAAAGTCTGTTTGCTAATCCTGGAATTGACAAGTTTATTTCCATTCCCACTCCTGCAATGAAAACTGTTGTCTCATGGACCAAAAAAAGCAGCAGACACTTGATTTTGCACAACATTGTGGGTAGGAGTTCTCTAAAACAAACCAGAGCAGGACTGCCCATCAAAATCCATTTTAGGAAAAAGTCCACAGTTAAAATTCTTTCTTGACTATTTTTTGAGTAATAATAAGAATAATTAATTAAAGGAAAGAGCAGCCTTTTGGCAACCATAGTTAGCAAGTACCTAGAAAAATGCACATTTGAGAAACAAACATTAATAATTTTAAAATTCCATCTTTGCTTGGACAACAAAAAAACCCTACCCCAATAGTTAAAATAATTCCCTCCTCACTTCTGCTTTCAAGGATCTTTTGTTTCTCATGACTTAGTCATAAACAGGGCAAACTTCTAGTTAGCCACTGCTAACAGAGCCAGCCACTAACAAATTGCTTTACTTACAAAAGTAGTGTTAGCATGCACCAGTACACCACATCTAATTTTTTGGTTTAACACTGACTAGTTCAATCCCTACATGGAATTCATTGGAGCTTCAGAATTTATCCTAAATTATAATAGCATATAACAGTTAAAAGTTGTGGGTGTTCTGCCACCATGTGTGCAAATACAGTATATAGGCTGACCAGTCAGTCCTCCATCAAACTAACATCTACAACTTCCTAAAAAGTTATTAGAAATGTTTCTGTCACCTCCAGGTTGAGGAAAAAGCCTTCTTAGTATTGCACCTTGTAAAACACAAGGGATCATAATTTAATTGTTGTTAATCGACTCTGCTAATTTAAATCTGTCAATTTAAATCACCTCAAGATCTATCACCAATATTTTTAGAAAGGTAGGTACCTGCCTTTAAAAAATATAAACTTCAAGCCAGCTTCATCTTTCAATTTTTTTAACCCAAGTTTTAGAAAAAAAGGGTAATGTCCTCTAATTTTCAATAATTCTTTGTGGTTTGTTTTTTTTTTTTTTTTGTGTTGGAACTTGGCATAGTTGCTTTTCTGAAAGCAGATCTTTTATATCCCTGTTTGTATAGAACTATTTTGGCTGGATTCCCTATTTGCTCATACATTGCCATTTTTGTTAGGTATTGAGTTGCTTGTCAGTGGTGAAAAAAATACCAGCTGTAGCAATTCTTTCTGTCAACAGCATGTTTTCAGAATCTTGTTTATGGAGTTAAAATAACACAGCTTATGTTTAATCAGTCTCATCTCTATTGCTACACACTGCATTGTCTCCAAGACAAAAATGTGTATTACAACCTGTGTCAGTCACTAACTCAGATGGTAGGTCTTAAACATGTAACTCTGGATCACCTACTGGTTACACTCTCTTCACTTCCATTTACAAAATGCATTTCTGTTATAATAAAGTTGAATTATCAAGCACCACTGTGTTCCCAGTGGATGGAAATTATAGCATACTTGGGAGGTTTACTAAAAAATGCATAAATCCCTCAAAGAGTTTCAACTTTTGAAATTGAGTCATAAGGAAGTTTATCTGAATTTTATTTTAAATAAAGCATTTTCCATCTTTGGTATAGATAATATCAGGCTCTGAAACTGCACTCAGAGCCCAAGCTAGTGTTAACGTGACACTTTAACCTTAGGAGAGGGCATGGACACTCATGGTAAACATTCACTTAGGCTGAATATGCAGACTGAAGTCAAGGATATTTTACTGGAACCAGGTATTTTTGTGTCCTGTGTTTTCACTCTATTAAGCAACTGAAAACCTGCAATTTTTTCGTGGCCTGTTATATCTTTTTGTGTCAGTACCTAGACTATAAATTCATTTCTGCAAGTGGAGCTATGTAGTAGGAGTCACAAATACTTTTAGGTGGATTGTACAGCTTATGGAAGGAATCAAAGGGAACAGAGCCATTTGTCGCTACATCTTTGATACAGACAAAGTCCACAGCCACAATGCATGCAATGAAGTGCCTTTATCTCAGTATTTGGTAATCCACAATACAGTAGCCTGAACTCTAAAAATCATGATACAAACACAATTTCCATATACTCAGTAAGGAATGAGCTGAGGTACTTGAGTAAAAGTCTCTGACCTTCCACAGAAAAAAATATCTCTTTGATAGGAGTACAGGAAGACCTATGTATATTATTTTTTAAATTCCTGTTAAAACACAATTGGGCTGGAAAACTGGTTTCTCATTTCCATTCAGTCAATCTTCCTACTGGCAAAGTATGAAGTCAAGCTGCAGAGCTGAAAGTCAGCTCAAGAGTACAAAACACCAGTGCATGCAGATGGCCTTGCAGTTAACAGCAGCACACTCTGAGACTGCTAAAACTGTGGCTTTCATTTACAGAGCTTACTGGCAGCCAGCAAGAACATTCTGAGCCAAAACCAGAATACTGCTGTTAGGAACTCAGCAAAACATCAACAACTCAGTTTTTGTATGCACCATGATTTCTAAACTTCCATTAACTCCAAAGTTACAGCTGAGTATCTCTATAAAGTCCAGAGCACTGCTAATTTCCTCCCCCCGTCCTGAGTCTGGAGGAACCATACGTGATGAAGACAAAAGGAAGTTCATAAAATGGAAACTGCCTCAGCCTTTCAAGAAGAATTGTCAATGAATAACACTACTAACTGGGAAATAATCTGTACTTCTCTGAGTCTTTCCAATAGAATTTTTGAGCACACATAGTTGTCTGGTAATTAAAAAATACAACACAGCATTCAATGTTGTTTCAGACAAACTGAATGGAAAAAAAGGCACAGGTTGAAAGGCATTGCAAATTGAAAAAAAAAAAAAGAATTTCAGAAATAGTGAGATTGTTTTATTGTGAGCTAAATGAATTTCCCTGTTGCTACAAAACAGCTGCTTATGTAGTGTGAGATATTATTTTTATTTCCTCATGAGTTTAATGTCCCTTATTATGGACTTTATGTAACCTCCATTCCCTTTCAAGCATACCTCAGAAATTGCAGCCATTCCAAATAGAGAAAAAAACATCCCTTGTTAGCACAATTCCAACAGTATGTAACCACTGGCAATGAAAACCTATATCTGAACTTTTTTGTGGGGCATAAAGATGTTTTCAGAGGAATATGGCCAAATAAAGGGATACTACAGGCTCAGGCCTTGATTAAGACTGCATGTGATTTCCACAACAGATATGTTCTGGCTCTTAGTGTCCTCTTCCCCTTGCAAAAGCAACCATTTTTTTGGTGTGAAACCTAATATACTTACTAGTCTTCACACACAGAAAGGGAGACAAGAACCAGGGAATTCAATAAACTAGAACAAATAATGATTTTGGAGTTTTTCAGTTACCAAAGTGAGAAAGGTGCTAATTAATTGTGTAACTATGCAGAAGGAGCAATTGTACCTGAATCAAGAGTTTACTGGGTGATCCACAGGCACCACATTGGATACTAACTTTTGCCTTGACTCCATCTTTTCTAATTTCCCAAGCTGCCCTTATGACTGAATTGAGATGTCCTAACTGAGGTTAGTGTCTCGTGCAGAAAGATTTGCTAGCAGATCCCTGGATTGCTTTGTTTTACCATGATGGTCAATATAACTGCCTCTGACACCCTCTCTGTTCTTACATATCACCTGCTCAGAGAACAGAACCAAAACATAAAATCTGAAGTATACACATGAGAAAAAATGTCTATTATTAATGCAGTTAAGCATATAACTGGCATTGAAAATATCTTTTTGTGTGCTCTTCCACACAAATGAATAATGTGAAGTGATATGTGGGTAAAGGTTACCTGTAGGAAAAAATTCCCATAATTTCTGTGGTAGACTGATAAAAGTGTTTTGTTAATCATGTTTTCAAGATAGGCCTGGGGCCGGCACATTGGAATTTGAACAGACGAGGATGCACCAGTTCACATCAGAAGACTAATAGTGTGTTAAGATGCCAGCATAGCTGCAAATAGCCAGGAGGTATGGTTCCATAGTTTCCAGCCTCTCTCAGAACATACAAGGGAACGATGATTGTCATGCTTCCTGAGGACTAAACTGAGGCAGTTTTACACACAGATACATGTGTGGAAGGCAGAAACCTCACTCCCTCTATCTTCTGCTACCACAGCCATGTCAGATAGATCCTGCTGGACCATTGCAAGAAATGCAATTCACGTCTCCAACAGAAGGTAATATTAACAGTGATAATCTAGAATTAATCTTCATATCTCAAACCCAATCTTCACAGCAAAAACCTCTGCTTTCAGATGGGAAAACACAGTAAGGCTCCCAGCCTCCAGATGTGGAGTGCTCTATTGCCTGCATTAGGCTCTTACATACTTTAGTAATTTGCAAACTCTTTTTTTTACTTACTGAAACATTAATAAAGTCCCTGTGTGACACACCAGACTAACCCAGCCTCCAGACTTTGCCGAGGAGCCATAGTGCCCTGTTTACCACTTCAACTTGTTAGGTTTTCTTTCTGCTATGAAATCAGTCTACAGCAAAATATGGTTTTGGCCATGGGACTGACAGGCAGTAAACCACGAAAATTATAAATTATTTTATTAAAAGTAAAATAACATGTTTTACCTATCGTTGTATTTCACCTCCTCTCCATTCTTAGCCCAGCTGATGGTGGGCTTTGGGTTTCCCACTGCCTCGCAGTGAAGCAGCACACTCAGTGTGCCACCAGCTAGGACCACTGTCTGTCCCAGGTGGGTAACAACCTCTGAAGCAGAAAGCTGTTGTGCTGCTGAAATCTTTCGCAGGATGGCAGGCTTTTGGTGAGGTCTGCGCAAGCCATTTGCCAGGTCCAGAGAGGTGGGAAGAAATGCTTCTGCAGACGAAGTCCTCAGGGAGCTGGTAAATCCAGAAATGTGTCTGTGGACAGGATACTCCACCAAGGCTGAATCTACTCTTCGCCTTAATGCTTTTAGGACAGATCCCTGGTGCTCCAAGTGGCTCTTGAAAACCTCATGAGCCAACTGCACAACAAGTTGTTCAGTGTAGACATCCTTAAGTTCCTCAGGCTGTTGAGATAAGTTCCTTATGATATCATCCAAGCGTTTCTGTTCTGTGACCATAGTAAATGGCAGGCTATACTCCCAACTCAGGTCCTCCTCTGAGGATGTGTTTCTCTCTGTGGAATCCTGGGCTTCCCAGGAATCCAGATTTTCCCTGGGCCAGTCCCTGTACTGCAGCAACCTTGAGACAATATCATCATACCAGCTACTGAGGTCAGCAAGGTGCCCTCGCTTTTCAGCCTTGCTCCCATTGAAGAGAATCCCATTGATATGTTTATCCTGTGCTTGCAAGGCTTCATTTAAGCTGGTCTTTCCCATGGCCTCTTCCTCCCTAATGCCAGTTGGCCGCTGAGAAATGATCTTCTTGTTATTTCCAATCATTTTAATGACAAAATGCTCTTGGGCTGGTCCTGCTGTGCAGGTGTAAGTCCCAGTGTCTGAAGGCTTCAAACAATGGATTTTCAGGTACCCATAGGGTGCAATGGTGATATGAGCTGAGCTGATAAGCTTCTTGTCATCCTTCTCCCAAGAGATCATTGATTTCCGGAACCTCCTTGTAGGGCATTGGAGAATAACGGAGGTTTTGGGCAGCAAGTAGGCATACCCACCCACAATAAATTGTAGTTTCTTCTGCTTTCTTACTTGTATGTAAACTTTCTTTATGGCCATAATACGGGGGCTTTGCTTATGAGCTGGCCTGTTGTGCCCTGAAATGTCATTAATACTATTAGTATATGATACCATTAAACAAAACAAGACGTTTACTTTAGTGCAGGCAGCATTCTACCCATTAGGCAGTAATGGAAGAAAGTGCCCACCAGCTCCTAGACAGTAAGTTGGAGCAACCAAATAAGAGGAACAACAAAGCTCATTTTAGGAACTCAAATGTAGTCCTACCCAGGGTACATGCAGAAACCAAAGAGCCAGGAAGAGCTTTATGGGAGGAAGAAAACTTGACTGGAAATGTAGTTTTTATTGTTAAAGCATTTAAATGAAGGTTGTTGCTTAAAAAAAATATTGAAAAGATAAGGGTTTACCATCCACCTCTCAAAGGCAACATGATCTTGCAGCTCACAGCAGTATGGAAGGGTGAAAGTACTCACTCTGTTCAGTGCTATTCAGAGTGTAGCATTGAACAGAATAGAACTGTCTGGACTAGGCTTAAAAACAGGGTAATACTATTAAAGTGCACTTGTTCAGTGTGTCCTTCCAGTTCCCAGATTTTTGTGACAGGGAACTTTTTAATGAAGCATTAAATAAAGAAGCACAGGTATATTATTAGTAAATACCATGGAACATTTGGCCCCAGCTTCAGTCTGAATGTAAGATCATCTTTTTTCCCTGACACACCCAACATTTAGCAGTTTCAGAATTCATAGTCACCTTTAAGCTAGGCTGTCTTATTAACTTCTGCATATCCAGTTGGCTTACTGCAAGGAAGACTACTGCTCTTGTGAAGGGCAAAAACAGATGCATGAAACAGCAACATAAAATACATCTGATTTATGTTCGATGTTTCATTAGAAATCCCTGGTCATAGAGGGTTCTGAGAGACTTGATAAAATAACATGTTTTTAAATGATCTTCAACAAAATCCCTTACCAACCATTTTCTTTGCAGCTGTTCTATCAGAGAGTTTGTTTGCAGCTGCCCTCAGGGTGTTGAGCTGTATCCCTGAGCCTGTACATTCCAGTTGTGAAATTTAGATCTAGATTTGGGTCACAATTTTGACCCAGTTCTTCCAGAATATAGTAGATCCCTTCCAGCATATTGGCTCAGACCCAGCTCCAACAGTAAAATTTATAGCTATCATCCACTGGCTTGCCCTATTGCTAAACAAAAGCATACTTGTTCACAGAGGGAAAAATTCAGCAGCAGCCACTCTGTGAGACTGAGTAACACTAGTGCAAGAGAGGTTATGGTGCAGGTGACAGAATGAATTTCTTAGTCATGGACATCCAAGTCCCTTGTCCCCAGACATTCCCAAGCATCTTTTCCACTTACTTGCACAGATGCCCAGTGCACAGGGCCTGGTCAAGGACAAGAAAGGCAAAGGTGGGCACAGTGAGGAATTGATGATGACAGAACCCCCTGTTTTTAGCACCTTTCTGCAAATGGCATTTCGACTCTGGGTACCCTCTCCACAGCTCACTGAACACTAGAAACAGAATTAACACCATTAGGAACAATGTGTATTAAAAGCAAAGGTGCTCTCCTTGTCAACCCCTAGACCCTTTTCCCTTGCATATCCACATTCCATACATATACACGATACAGCTCAGTTACAGCTTTCAAAATACGACAGTGGAATAAAGCAGAGCAGCACCTGGTCCTTAAGTTACACACACTGCAGGCACAGTAAGGTGATTAAACATCAGATATTTTCTATCCTTTGAGACTTTGAATGGTCGCAGGCTCCCTTCAGCACTTTTTTTCTTTCAGTTGATGTCCCTTTTTTTAATGGTTCTGTGCTAGAGTAGAAAGCATGTCTTTGCACTTTGTTTCTGTATATCTGTGTCTGCTGGCTGGAAAAACTGCTGTTCATAGCCAAGAACCGACCACATTGAGTTGTACTTCACAGTTGTTCTGCCAAAATGTGGCCTAAACTTAGTCCTTGAGTTTTCCTATTGCAGAAATAATAAATGGATGAGTGTTTCAGATACCAATGAGTTACCACAGCCTGGTAGCTACCACACATGGTTTACACAGAAGAGTATAAACCCTTTTATACCATACTGTGGTGCCCAATACACAGGTGGGCATTGATTAATGGAATTCACCGTGTCTATTTTAGTTCATATTTACATAACAGCATAGTTGAAAGTGGGCATACAGGCAGGGCCACTGCACTGGGACCCAGTCAGAAGTCTGTAAAGGTGCTGAAAAGTGGGTTGAATGTTGTAAAGTTGGTAGCACAAGGATATACATGCACTTCTCTTACATGCAGGTGTACACCTGTGCTAATGGGAACTGAAGATGAAGTGAGGGGGAAAAGACACATTAAGGGTAACAACAGCAAAAAAAAGGCAGACTTGAAGTGAAATGGGGAGAGAGAGCGAAGTCAGATTTGTTGTTAGCTAGTGCAAATACACAGAAATGTGAATTGTATGTATGTCAGCATAAACCATTGTGCTGGTTTGGTTTGGTGAATTTTTTGGTAGCAGGGGAAGGGCCCCAGGAGTCTCCAGTAGGAAGCTGAGTAGCTCTTCTTGCTCCAAACCCAGCCAAGGAGCCATTAGTGGGACAACAGCTGCACCTCTGCAAAACAACAGCAAAAAAAAGGCAGACTTGAAGTGAAATGGGGAGAGAGAGCGAAGTCAGATTTGTTGTTAGCTAGTGCAAATACACAGAAATGTGAATTGTATGTATGTCAGCATAAACCATTGTGCTGGTTTGGTTTGGTGAATTTTTTGGTAGCAGGGGAAGGGCCCCAGGAGTCTCCAGTAGGAAGCTGAGTAGCTCTTCTTGCTCCAAACCCAGCCAAGGAGCCATTAGTGGGACAACAGCTGCACCTCTGCAATTAACATATGAAAGAACTGAGGTAAGAGCTGGCCAGAGAGAGCACTTGGTTGGTAGAGAAGAAGAAAAAAGAAGAGCAGTGCTGGGGAAGGAGAGCCATGATGGTGGTTGGTGAGGAAGAAGGGAAAGAAGATGCCCTAGTAGAAGTTTTCCTGCAGCCCATGGTGAGCTGGCACCTGCACTTATGGAGGAACGTGATGGAACATTCCCTGAAGGCACCAGGAGGGGTAAACTTGGCCAGTGGACTTGGATTTTGTGGTCAGAGGATTTGCTGCCAGTGGACTCTGATTATGAAGCTTTGGAAGACTCTGCCACCAAGAGAGGTGGCTGTTCCCAAAGCAGACTCTGTGTGAAGCCCAGGCTAGAGCAGCGTGCTTCAGATCTTGTGGGAAGGACTCATGAAGGAAAGGTTCATGGAGGACTCTCTCCCATGGGAGGGAGCCTGTGGGGAAGTAGGGAAGGACTGCAAGGAATCCTTCCTCCTGAGGAGGAAGGAACAGCAGGAACCACCAGTCTGTGAACTGACTCTAAACCCCATCCCCTGTCCCCCTGTGCCGCTGGGGGAAAGGAAGGAGAGAAACTGGGAACACAGGAATTTGGACCCAGGAAGAAGGGAGGGGTGGGGTAATATATGCAAGCCCTGCTCTTTGTGTTGTTTGTGTCCTGTGTGTGTTTGGTTAGTGTGAAATTAAATTATTTTTTTCCCCAAGTTGAGTCAGTTTTGCCCGGGACCTTAATCGGTGAAGATCCCTCCTTGTCCTTTGTCTCGACTCATGAGCTTTGTCCTCCTCATCCCAGAGTGTGTGTGTGTGTGTGGAAGTTGAATGAGAGGCTGTGGGGTTGGTTTTTTTATTGTCGTGTGGGGCCCAAACCATGGCAACCATATAGCAACTTCTTGTAAAAGAGGGAAGATTTGGAATAGAAATACCATTTTCTCTGCAAGAACGTCTATGTCTATGTGACTTCATGAGAACATTCACCTGTGTGAGTAAAATGTCTAGATCAGCAGATGAAAGGTGCATGTGGGACACCTCTGTGAGGTGAACAGTGTTTTTTTTCACAGCAGAGACAATTTCCACCTTCTTCCATGACATATAACTGGGAGAGCAGTGGCAAAGATTGCAAGATGGGGAATGATTTTCATGCTTACTGATGTTAAAAGGTCAAATTATATTTCCAGTTACACTGCCATAAATATAAAGGGAAATTTTCTTAAATCATATGGGGCCATAAAGCAAACCTGGGAAAATGCAAGGGACTTCTGTAGAGTGTATTTGCTTTGACATCCAAAAACTGAAGGAAGGAATTTTCTAGCTAACATTGCAAAAGCAGTATCCTAGAATGAAAGAGGCTTGGGATCTGTAATGATATGCCTACACCAGACTGCATCATAGGGAAAGGTTAGAGTGGCCTGAAGAGGAAAAGACTACTGATGTCAGAACAGCCAGACTTTGAGAAGAAAATTCAGTTATTTTGGGGAAGTAAAAATTACTCTTCATTGAGGCCTTGGAGGAAAATTGAGCTAGCAATTAAAATCCCTACCAGGATAATAAAGACAGGACTAAAATGGACATAACACACTTTGTGCAGTCTGCACAGTTTGGCTCCTTTAGCCCAAGTGACTGAGCAACCTTATTGCTGAGAACAGCACAATACCCATGCATGCACATAACATACCTGTGTCCAGTCAGAGAGAAGCCACTCACTGGGACAATCTTCATTTTTACAGGCATGTTGGGTAACAGGCCTTGGTGTGAAGCAGAAGGTTTCTGGTAGGTCTAACAAGCTTCCATCTGCCAGGCGCTGCTTACAAAGTGCATCTCGCTTCTGGACACCACCACCACATGTCTGTGAACACTGTAGGAGATGAGAGTCAGCCACCTCACATTGCATTCACTCCTTCCTTCCTTCCTTCCTTCCTTCCTTCCTTCCTTCCTTCCTTCCTTCCTTCCTTCCTTCCTTCCTTCCTTCCTTCCTTCCTTCCTTCCTTCCCTCCTTCCTTCCCTCCTTCCTTCCCTCCTTCCTTCCCTCCTTCCTTCCCTCCTTCCTTCCCTCCTTCCTTCCCTCCTTCCTTCCCTCCTTCCTTCCCTCCTTCCTTCCCTCCTTCCTTCCCT